CAGAACTTTTGCTGCTGGAGAATTTTGAACTCTCAATACGAGTACACACCTAATCTTAAAATAGCATCATGCATACCTCTGGAGTAAGGTGGCCAGATGCGCTGATTTAATCAGTACATGTGTTGATTTTTTTCTATTGTACTGATTTTTAAGAGCCCGAAATCAGTACGCAAAATGTACTGATTTTTTGAGTTTGTACTGATTTTTACATTTAATAAATACTTTTGTAAATTGGTGTAATTGACATTTACTTGAGGTTTACATGTTCAAAACAATGGTTTTTGACAACTCATACGTATGAGCAGATTGAAAGCATTAATTACACTTGAACCATTATTAAAAAGGTGTCAGCTTGCAATTGTTTCGTTTCCTAGGATTTCGCAAAATAACAAACTGTTTGGATTCAACCCAACCCGATTTGCAATCACGATTTGCAGGTTTTACAGGATTTACAGGAAAAGCTGGTTTTGCCATAAATAAATCTTTTGAAAGGTGGTGGTGAGTTAATCATATATTAAGTACACTGAGAAGATGACAATAAGAGATTAACTTTTGATTATAATTAAACATCCACTGAGAAATCGGCTGTCAGTATTTCAAACTTAAGACGACTACTGCTACGGTGCAATGTAAGTTCTAAAAATTTGGAAAAGGTGCAAACTACCGACTCTTGGATATGATATACATATGTAGCTTTACTTTGATTTTTGATGTTCGACTACCTGTAATTTTACTTGCACATACACATTTAACACTATAAATTTCATTCCTACTCGAAAATTCGTTTAGCGATAATTCGGTAATATACCTTTTAGTCAACATTTTAATGTGAATGTTGTATTTAATAAGCACACCAACTAAATATGTTTTAAATTTGTAGCTTAAAATATGCAAACAGATTCTGACTCGAGCTCGTCTTCTACTGAAACTGAATGGGCTACAATTTTTTTTTCCCCCAATTTTTATAAATTTTCTAGAAAGTTTGAGACTTCAACTCACATGTCTTTTGTTATAGAACTAACTATATTTTTATAAAAAATTTAAATTAAGGAAAGAAAAAATTTTCAAAACCTGTCAATACATTTTATTACTATTTTCCTGAGCACAACTGTACATACATACGTAATACCTTTGACTTGTTTTAAAGTAATGAATTTTTATATTGATAATACTATATGTATTTAAAAATCTATTAGTTATTTTTTGTTAAATTAATGCGCTGTTATTTGGATGTTGTATTGAAAATAATAAAAAATACGCTTAAAAATTAGCTAATTTTTACGGCGTTGTACTGATTTTTGATCCCAACTGTACTGATTATGTCACTATAATATCTGGCCACCCCCCTACTCTGGAGGCATTTAGCTACAGTACTAAGAAGTGGTATTTTATCAAAGCCAGGTTACTGAGTTTGAATTGGAAATGTTAAGAACCCGCCGTGGCACCCACCAGAAGGTTGGCCGAGCGAACGTGTAATCCCTGGAACCATTTTAAGGTAAACTTAGAGGGATTGATATCTTTCGTATGTCTAGCTTGCCGACGAGATTTTATAATTCCATAGTTTTAAACGGCCGAAATACCTTAACTTGCTTAAAAAAAAATACAGATATAAAAAATGGGCACAGAAATAAAATATAACATCTTTAAATTAATTTTCATATTTGTATTAAAACGTGGGGTGAAACCCGCAGGTATAAGCTCTTCTTCTTCTTAATTGGCTCTGTAACCGCCTAAGCGATTTTGGCCGAGTCCAAAACAGCACGCCAGTCATTTCTCTTCTGTGCTAACTGACGCCAATTGAAAATGCCAAGTGAAGCCAAGTCCTTCTCCACCTGGTCTTTCCAACGCAGAGGAGGCCTTCCTCTTCCTCTGTTACCAGCATCGCGGCCCGCGTTGAATATTTTCAGAGCAGGAGCGTTTCTGTCCATCCGAACGACATGGCCAAGCCAGCGGAGCCGCTGAATTTTAATTCGCTGCACTATGTCTATATCGTTGTAAAGCTCATACAGCTCATCGTTAAATCGTCTGCGATATTCGCCATCACCAACGCGAAAAGGTCCGTAAATCTTTCGCAGATTCTTTCTCTCGAAAACTCCAAGAGCCGCCTCATCAGATGATTTCATTGTCCATGCTTCCGCGCCATACACCAGCACAGGCATGATGAGTGACTTATAGAGTGTGATCTTTGTACGACGAGAGAGGACTTTACTTCTCAATTGCCTACTCAGCCCAAAGTAGCACTTGTTGGCAAGAGTGATTCTCCGTTGGATTTCAAGGCTGACATTATTATTGGTGTTAATGCTGGTTCCCAAATAAACGAAGTCGTCTACTTTTTCAAACTTGTAACTGTCAACAGTGACGTGGGTGCCAAGACGCGTATGCTCTGACTATTTGTGTGATGACAGGAGATACTTCGTTTTGTCCTCGTTCACCACCAGACCCATTCGCTTTGCTTCTCTATCCAATCCCGAGAAGGCAGAACAGACGTAGCCCTTGTTTTTACCGATAATATCGATGTCGTCGGCATACGCCAGCAATTGTACGCTCTTATAAAGTATTGTGCCTGAGCGGTTCAGTTCTGCGGCTCTTATTATCTTCTCCAACATAAGACTAAAGAAATCACACGAAAGGGAGTCCCCTTGTCTGAAACCTCGTTTGGTATCAAACGGCTCGGAGAGGTCCTTCCCTATTCTGACGGAGCTGGTGGTATTGCTCAACGTCATTTTACACAGCCGTATTAGTTTCGCGGGGATACCAAATTCAGACATCGCGGCATAAAGGCAACTTATCTTCGTGCTGTCGAAAGCGGCTTTGAAATCGACAAATAGATGGTGTGTGTCGATCCTACTCTCGCGGGTCTTTTCCAAGATTTGGCGTATTGTGAATACCTGATCTATGGTGGATTTTCCAGGCCTAAAGCCACACTGATAAGGTCCAATCAGCTCGTTGACAGTGGGCTTCAGTCTTTCGCACAATACGCTCGATAACACCTTGTAACCTATGCTTAGAAGGGTAATTCCGCGGTAGTTGGCGCGTATGGCGGGGTCGCCTTTCTTGTGGATTGGGCAGAGCACACTTAAATTCCAGTCGTCGGGCATGCGTTCATCTGACCATATTCTGCATACGAGCTGATGCATGCACCTCATCAGCTCCTCGCCGCCGTACTTGAATAGCTCGGCTGGCAGGCCGTCAGCTCCAGCAGCTTTGTTGTTTTTCAGCCGCGTAATCGCTATACGTACCTCGTCATAGTCAGGCGGTGGGACAGCTACTCCATCATCATCCCTATAACGGTCCCACATGGCTCGCGTTGCGCCCGATCGCAGCGTGGCCCTGTAGGCGGCATCTTTTTTCTCTGCGGCTTCTTGACATTCCTCATCGTACCAGTTGTTCTTTCGGGCTCGCTGAAATCCAACTACTTCTTCGGCGGCGGTACTTAATGATCGGGAAATGTGGTTCCACTGCTCGCGTACGTCGGATTGTTGAAGAGTGCTCTCAGAGAGCAGGTGTGTGAGTCGAGTGGCGAATAAATTGGCCGTCTGTTGTGATTGCAGCTTTTCGACGTTAAGCTTTCCTTGCATTGTTGGGCGCACATTTTTTGCTGCACAGAGGCGGGTGCGTATCTTGGCTACAACAAGATAGTGGTCCGAGTCGATGTTTGGTCCTCGAGTGTACGTACGTCCAAAACGCTTGAAGCATGCCTTCCGTCTATCACAACATGATCGATTTGGTTTCTCGTTTTTCGATCTGGAGACAGCCATGTAGCTTGGTGGATGTTCTTATGCTGGAACCTTGTACTACATATTACCATATTTCGGGCCCCGGCGAAGTCGATCAGCCTCAGTCCGTTATCGGACGTTTCGTCGTGGAGGCTGAATTTTCCGACAGTGGCGCCAAAGATCCCATCCTTGCCCACCTTGGCATTAAAATCGCCAAGCACGATTTTGACATCGTGTCGGGGGCAGCGCTCATATGTACGTTCCAAGCGCTCATAGAAGAGATCCTTGGACGCCTCATCCTTCTCTTCCGTCGGGGCATGGGCGCAGATGAGCGAGATGTTGAAGAATCTAGCTTTGATGCGGATTGTGGCTAGACGTTCGTCCACCGGGGTGAACGCAAGTACTGGGTGACGGAGTCTCTCTCCTACCACGAATCCAACACCAAATTTGCGCTCCTTTACGTGGCAACTGTAGTAGACGTCGCAAGGCTTCACGCTTACTTTACCTTGCCCCGTCCATCGCATTTCTTGGATGGCGGTGATGTCAGCCTTTGTCTTCCCGAGGACATCAACCAGCCGGCCAGAGGCACCTTCCCCATTAAGGGTCCGGATATTCCAGGTGCATACCCTTAAATCATAGTCCTTTATACGTTTGCCGTGGTCGTCATCAGAAAAAGGGGGTCTCATCCGAGGCTGTTTGTTTCTTTTCATTGGGCGGGGTTTTAACGTGGCGGGACCCAAACCCAGCGCACGCAAAGTTTTACGCCTTCTCACTTTAGCTCGCTCCCAAACGGGTGTTTGGTTGCTACCCAGAGGATACGTGGATATAAATATCCGGACGTTGTGAGCTGCGATTTGAACCGTACGCACAAGAATCGCTTCTGGTCACTCCCAGGTGAGTGGCAGTCAAAAGTTTTCCACTTCTGCGCACGGAACCAGGTATAAGCTAGTAATTTTATTTAAAAAACATATGCCTTGCAAAATATTGTTTTAAAAATTAAAACTCATAAGTGTCCGCTGTACTAAATACAGTACATGCATTCCCAAAAGCTAAACGTTAGCTTTTCCGTTAATTTTACCTCCTAAGTTAGTTTAAATGGTTATTATGATCACATATGTATGTAAATAGGTTGGGTATGCTGGCCAGCCACTACGTGGCTTCGCAGAGACCATTAAGATCCATAGCGTTACCAACATATGTATATAAAATTATATATAATAAAATTTCAACCGTTTTAGTTTGGGCGCAAATGGGTTAATCCTAAAAGTAACAAAACATTCACAATTAATTTACTTTCATAAAATCCATTATTTTATTGGCAATACTTTAAATAATTTTAGTGTTATTTCTTTACTTTTAAATTTTTTAGTTACAAGTAATTAAGTATTTTTCCTAAATAAGCAAATTTTCGATGAGTTTGTAGCAAAATGGAATTCAAACAACATTTTTTCTACCTTCTCTATGTATTACATACAATCTTGTATTGGAATTGATAAACAAACTATTTTACTATAGCATTATTTATTTTAGTGTATAAATATCGCAATCAAAAAACTGTTTTTCCTTAATGTTGACTTTTGTGTAAGGGCTTTTTGGGAATATTTTTAACTTATTAAAATCTCAGAAATAAATTGCATCTTTGTTATTTTAAATTATAAATACTTTTTAACTTTAGGCAAATCTTTCTAAAAACTATACTATTTTTGCCGAATTGACTTTAAATGCTGTTGCAATTGTTCGCAACGTTGGCACTCCTTGGTCAGCTGTTTCACTGCGGCCGCGTATTGGCGCTGCAGTTCGAGCAGGCTCTGCAGCTCTGCATTCAATGCATCACGTCTCGCACACTCTTCGTTGTACTTTTGACGCACCTTTTGCTCGGTTTGCTTAACACCCGCGACAATCGCCTCAAATTGTTTGATAAACTCTTCACGGCCCTGTGCGCTAGTCATGCCTTCATTGTACGCCTCGCATATTGAATTGAGTAGTGAGAGTTCTTTTTCGAGATAACGCTTTTTGTCGTTCAGCGTATTAAACAGTGTGTAATATTGTTTTGTCTCGATATGTTTGGCACTCACTGGAAAGAAATATGCATGAATAATGAAACAATTCACATACATATCGTCGTTTAAAGTGCAAAACCGCGTATCAACAAAATGCAAAACCGCGTATGTGAAGTTTTAGAAATTATTTTCTAGAGTGTAAAAACACTCATTTCAAAATGGTTCTCTTTTTTATAAAGAAATCGCATTTCAGCCTAGTATATTTCAGGACGAATGGATAAGGATTGAGCAAGAGCTTGTGTGAGCAAATCCAATTTTTGGCAGCCAATGTCAGTTACGCGGTTTTGCAAAATGACGATACGCGGTTTTGTACTTTAAACGATGATATATGTATGCATATTGAGTTACAAGTTACAAACATACTTTCATTGTATAACTCATGGAATCGTCTCTGATATTGCGTCAACTCGGTGCGATCGGGTATGGCATCTAGACGTCTTTGTATGGCCACAATACCACGATTCTTTTTCGCTATCTGCAGCTTCAATTCCTGTATTTGTGCTTTCTCTTTGGAAACGGCAGCTTCTTGTTCCTCTGGCGTTTGTGTGTTGAAGGCCTCTAACTCGCTGAATGGCATGAAATTGACAGAAATATTGTAAAAATTCAAAGAAAATGAAATTAGTATATGAAAATTACAGTAATTAAAAAATCTATAAATGTGCTTGATGGAAAATCTAACCCTTTTCTTTTCTTCAACTTACTCAATCTCCTTTTGCAAGTTAGCCAAATCTTGCCGACAGAACTCTTTGAACTCCGACTCCTCTTTCTTTAGCTGATCATGCTGTTTCAGCATATCTTGCACTTTTGTAAGAAGCCTGTAACATTAGCAATTTGAAACAAATTCTTACTCATATAAGGGGTATACTCAAAGTCTTGCAATTCCTTGCACGTTGTACGGATTTCATGCTTACGCGGGGTTATAGAAAACTTAGAGAATAACCCCATTATTTCATTCAGTTTTCTTCGGTATACTCACTCTGGGTCAGCCTTCGCTTGGATGGCTTTGTACTGTTCAATTTCTGCTTCCAACTGCTGTTTTTGTTCTTCTAACTTTTGCAACTGCTGCTGTTGTTTCTTAAATTCTGTTTCTATTTCTTCATTCTCTTTGAGATTACGTTGAACTTTGCGTTCTAATGCTTCTTTCGAAGCTTCGAGCATTTTAATTTGACTATGTTCGGACAACTGTTTGGCATCCGTTTCCATTTCCTGTTGAAGTTCTGTGTAGTGTTTGTGCATTGCATTTCGTTCGTCGGTGTCGAGACGGTGCGTAGGCGAAGAAATGGCATCCTGTGCAGTAATAAAATAAATTTACATATCGTCGTTTAAAGTACAAAACCACGTATCAACAAAATGAAAAACCGAGTATCCAGGTATATAGTAGTGTATAGTATATTTCAGGACGAATGGATAAGGATTGAGCCAAGAGCTTGTGTGAGCAAATCCAATTTTTGGCAAAAAATGTGATGCGGTTTTGCAGAACGACGATACGCGGTTTTGTACTTTAAACGACTATATGCATATGAAAAAAAGAAATTTCCAATATTTTACCTCTTTTGCTATTGTTAAATATTTAAGCATTTGCTGAACATCAAACTGCAAATCAAAATATTAACATTTGCATACACAAAAGCCAACGAAATTATACAGGACCAGTCAATTGTTTGGATATACGAAATAAAACAAAATTTAAATAAGCAAATTATGGGAAATCATGTAAGCTTTGTGACATATTAAAAAGCAATTTAGTATATATACATAGGTTCGCAATTGACTTGTATACCTCATCTCCGCCGACAGCTCGATTTCTGGAATGGCTTTCACAAACCGCGCTCGCCGCTGCTGCGTTACCATATTCCAGCAATGTCATACGCACACGCGTTTTCTCGTCTTCGTTTCCAGTATCTTTTCGTTGGTATAGCCGCGTAGGGTTGTACAGTTCCTAGTAATAAACGAATGGAATGCAAATAATACTTCCTACATTTATAATATGCTGAAACAACTATCTTACTTGTATCCGCTTTATATGCGCCGACGCGTTTCTTATTTTTGCCAAATGGTCCTTGTCTGTTTTATATTGGTAGTGATTGTGGAACTGGCCAATAGCAAACCTCTTCAGTCGTTGCGCACGTTCCGTCCGATTTTCAACCTATAACAAATTTTTTCAGTTATTTAGATTTAAAACAACATACATGCATAATTTGTTAATACATACTGATTTCTTTACCAGCCATTGTATAACCGGGTGTATGCTAAGGAACTCCAGTCCTTGTATTTGATGTGGCTCTATCTGAAAAGGGCACTTCATTTGAGGCAACACAGATACGATTTTTTCAACAAGCGCGCTGTAAGTGGAAATTAATTAATTCATATGTATATGTAAGGTAGAGGAAGTATTGTAAAGAATGGAGGGCACAATGGAATACTAGGTCGCGGTGCAAATCTCACTTTATTATCTATGTATCTATATGTAGTGCATATAACAATTGTTTATGAACGCATTCAAATGGAAACAGTTTTTAGGTATTATAAATTTATTCGCTGATACGTACATTTTTTGCCCAATAGTTAGGTTTTCGTGAAACAACAAATCCACATCGACATCATAATCACAGCATTCGATGCACCATGTCATACCGCCAACAACTTTGTCGAAGGATGATAAGCCTTTAATACGCGCCCGATAATAGCCAGCGGCCACTAACAAATCGAATGTTTCCTGTTCTTTCGCTGTCGCATCCTCATCTTCACGCCGCTCCACCTATGCATTCAGAATATCCAATCGAAATGAGTAATTCAAGAAAATCCAATTTTCAATAACTCACCTGCACTTCCCGTCCTTCGGCATCGATGCGAGTGGCCAACTTCACGTTTGGCAAATGCTTTGAAAATATATCACGATTGGACGCCATCGTTGAACGCCCACTTTCATCACTTTTGATATAAGGCTTCTTAAATATTCGCTAGCTAATTTATCAAACAAACAATCTAGTGAAATACGCCGATTGGCAAAACGCAAAATGTTTTCGATAGCGCTGTCAAAGTAATCAGCTGGATTGCTGTGGTAAATAAAAAACAGCTGACCGTGGTAAAGAAAAAAGCTAAAATTTGGTTCTTTCCCGTACTCAGAGCTGGGATGCCAAAAAAGGCACAGAAATCTTCCCGTACTAAAATAAATGGGTTACCGTTGAAACACAATGGCCCGTAGTTATAGTCAAAATAAAGTCGACTCTAAAGTTAAAAGCAGCTTTTTGACATAACTTTCAATGGGATATCTCTCAAAAAACGTACTTTTAACTTTAGAGTCGACTTTATTTTGACTATAACTACGGGCCAATATGTACCGACGAACGCCCAAAAATTTCGCTCAGTAAAACACAACTACGGCGACAACGAATTCTGCTGCTTATGACAAGGTACAATTAACATTTTTACAAACAATAAAAAAAAATTCACCCGAAAATTTGTCATCCGCCCATAGTAAAACCATGGAAACCAAGAGTGAAAAGTGAACCGGGTCGGGGAAAATGAGACTTCTGATAAAGCTAATTATTAATTTTTAACCAAAACTAATACAGTATTTTTCAATTTCGATTTAAAAACTTGAGAATATTTAGCATATGACCATAACGGATCGTATTTTGCCGCTGCCGCCAACGGCGACGATAAAACACGATCTCACTGTTTGAAAACGAAGAAAAAACTTTAACACCTCAATTTAAAAAATGCATTATTTGTATCATTTTCAGTTTAAATGAAACTTTTTTCAAATTAAACGAAACCATTTTCAAACAAAGCGAAAACTTTTTTAAATTAAGTGAAACCTTTTTCAGGTCAAGCGAAACCATTTTCGATTTAAATGAAACCTTTTTCAGATTCAATGAAACTTTTATTCAAATTAAACGAAACTTTCTTTTAAGAATGTTTCATTTCAATTGAAAAAAGTCCAATTTAATTTGAATAAAGTTCTATTGAATCTGAAAAAGGTGTAATTTAATTTGAAAAAGGTTTCGCTTTATCTGAAAAAGGTTTCATTTAATTTGAAAATGGTTTCGTTTAACCTGAAAAAGGTTAAATATAATTTGAAAAAGATTCACTTAATTTGAAAATGGTTTCATTTAAACTGAAAATGCTATACTAACCCCCCTATTCTGCAATTTTTTCGTATTCGGATTTTGCTACGAATCGTAGAAATGGCATGTGCTTTCGAACTTTCGAAATTCGTAACAATTGCATGCTTAAAAACTAACGAGTAAGAAATTGACAGATTATTTGTATAATTTTGTACGGAAGCAATTGTGTGTCGGAAGCGAGATGAAAGATGTAAATCGATGTATGTTTGCAGGAAATATTAGTGGTGTTCTTTTACACCCTTATTCTGCAACTCTTTCGTATTCGGATATCGCTACGAATCGTAGAAATAGTATGTTGCAATCCGAATCGTATTTTCGAACTTTCGAAATTCGTAACAATGGCATGCCTAAAAACGAACGAGTCAGCTTTTTTGCGTATTTTTGTACGAAAACAATTATGTGCCGGAGGCGAAATAAAAGATGTAAATCGATGTGTGTTTGCAAGAAATATTGGTGGTGTTCATTTAAACAGATAAATTTGCCTTTCGCATATTCGTATATTTTTATCCACTGCTTCATATAAACAAGCCAAAAAGAATCTTTGTTGCCCCTTATCGAGAAACTTGGGTCCGGTTTAGTTATTTGTACAATGATTTTCGGTTGTTGTGTCCAAACGCATAGCCCGAATCCAAAAACTTTATAACTTACACGTGTAATCAAAGGATTCCTATTTTATTTAAGATAAATGTTTCAAATTTCCTACCACTAGCTTATTAATAAACTCGGTTTGCACTATGCACTTTTTTACAAATTTCGACGTGGGTTCTGCGCAAAAATATTGTGGACGGCGTAGCCGGAGTGATATGCACAAGAAATGTTGTATACCTTTGACATGTGGAAGCCCCTCTTCCCCGCAACACAGAAAGGTGAATTCTATTTAGTAAGGATTATAATCCCTAAGCGCGGCCGAAGGCAGAGGCAAGCGCAACAGGTGGTAGACCTAACAAAGTGCATGTTTTCAATGGCTTGGAAGAAGCTGTTATTGCATTAACTGGATTAGGAACCAGTTCTTCAGGCATAGGAGGAGTTCTGGCTCGTGGTTTAACAATTCAACCAGAAGCTGACATAGATGCGCCCATGGTTACTATGCCCGACAGCTCCGCTTACCTTTGTGAATCCATTGCTATAGCGCCCGCTTACTCTGCTACTATAATTGCAAATACATCAGAATGCATAATTTTCCTCAAAATATATAACATGAACCAATTTTACAATAAACAAGCACATGATGAGTGTTTTTTTAATTCCTTTCCAGTTTGTTTTCCTTCATTCAGCTATATTCGAAAAACAACTGATAGCTGGCAATGCTGCACATGTTTCCGCAAGGGTTGCAGCATGTGGAATCTTCGTTTTTCGTAGCGTAGCTACGAATTGCGAATTACGAAAATTCGGGTTTTTTTTTTGCCAAAAACTATCGATAGTGGCGACAGTTTTCAACTATCGATAGTATCGCAGCTCTATATTGTGAGTCGCTGCTTTGGCACCACACTTTCTAAAAAACAGCTGATTTGGAAAAACCTACGCTGCCACTGCCACTGCGTTATTGTATTTTGGGCTTTAAAACTTAACAAGAATTTTAGCGAGGGATTGTGGATTTTGGTTAAATAAATCATTTATTTGCAAGAGATTTTTATTCATTTTGAAGATAAATCTAATATGTAGCAAGTGAAGTAAAACGAAGTAAAATGAAGTGACGAAGTGACGACTTTCAAAGTGAAATGTAAAACTTCAATTGAAGTGACAGTGGCAGCACTAGCAGGTATCGGTTTTCGTTTCCGCCAAAAATCAATTCCGTCTCCTTTTTCTACCAAATATGTCTTAACATCTGTCAAATATCTGTTTGGACATTGTCTCGTTTTCTCATGTGGGCAACTTGCTGTCTTAACATATCACTTTCAGAATGGCATCCAGCCAATCAGATCGGGCTGTACCCAATGTAAATGGCGCGGTTAAATGAAAACTGAGTTGTCAAACTACGAAATGACAGCTGATGTTAAGACAGCGATGGTAAGGAATTCGGCGAGACAGATATGGTTTAACAGTGGAAATTTACGGTCTCCACTTGACATTTCTGTCTTACCACAGCTTTTTTAACAGAATCTGTAGAAGGTGGAGACGTGGGGTAAGAGCGTGTCAGACATGGCAATATTTCCTACTTTTCCACGCAATTCGCTGTCAAATTGAGGAAGAGGAATTTTATTTAGATGTGTGAACAGCCATAAAAATAAAAGAAATAAAGATTGCATAATGTGACTGCAACTCAAAGTGCGCAAATCGAATTCGGAAATAAAAAAAAAACCTATTAGGAAATACATTTTACATGCAAGGTGTGTCTGCTCCTGCAACTGCTTTCTGAAAATTCTCAATTTGACAGCTCTTTCGAAATATAGTGCATACGAAATATATAGCCACGTCTGACATGCTCTTTAGTTTGGAAAAGTAGAACTATTTTTAGCAACCCTGTGGGACTGCCTAACTATCAATTGCAACCCTGCCTTGAAACCCACTCATATTTTTCTTTCTACTTTGTGCTGATTTTTGTTTTTTACCTGCGATTTTTCTTGAATGAATTGGCGTCTAGCCGGTAAAACGTGGGTGCATGTGTGAAAGAAATTGTTCTGGAGACCTTAAAAAATATAAGATATATTACTGAAAAGGCTTTTTAAAGTAAAACAATCACAATGCCATACCTTTGTTTGTTACAAGATGGTAATGAGAGCCTGCCGCGTCTCATGGAGAAAGCACAGCAAAACGGCTACGCAGTTGTAGCGGCTCCCATAAATGCTACTGAAATACCTTTGGAGTTTCAGGAACCGCCAATGTGCGACCGGCAAACGGAGTTCACATACTCTGATCTCATCTTCCCGTCAGATCAATGGAATGGAAAAGTTATAAGCATGTTATCGGATACCATCGATTGCGAGGCCGAGGATCCGGTGATGCGTCGCAATGCAGAAGAGGTATTGAAACGGGACATTTCGTGGGCAGAACATTTACAATACGGTGGTTATACAATGCTACAACTAAAATCTGAGAGGAATCTCAATATGGCACGCATTGCGTCGAGTACTGTGAAGGGTAAGTGTGCATTGATCTATGTTTATTAGGGTGGTCCTTAAATGAAGGAAGCATATTTTTACATCCGATTTTCTAAGCCTCAACCACTGCTTCGATGCAACTATAGTCGAAGATATCACATATAAATTTTGGTCCTGATTGGGGACGGTAAAGTCGTGTCGCACAAAGAGCAAATTTCAGATTCCTCTATGGAGACTCGGAAAATTTAAATTCGTTTTTTTTTTTTCACCTAATACACAATCGATACTACTTTAGTCGAGCATATCATATAAATTTTGGCCCCCCCTGTGATCGTGGTATTACCGATTGAGGGGGCGATACTGAAAAAAATCGTTCATTTGATTTTTTATGGACCACCCTAATGTATACACATTTCGTTAGGATAGTGGAAAGGGCCTAACTCACATCGACGCTGAAATATAAGAAGCCATAACTAAAAATCCAAAATTCACTTTTTGATTGATTATGATGCATTTCATCGAACTACAAGTCCTGACATCGTTTTATGCAATACATTTATTTTTTGCGGTTTTTAAATACATCCTTTCCATACTATACTAACAATATGTAGATGGATTCCCTAACATTAACGGTTTCAGAGTTGCATATTCATATTTATGAATTTGTATAGGATTGCTGCTTGTACAAGTACCGTTATATAATTCAAAGGTGGCACAATCTACCTGGCGACGTGACATTGACGAGGAACAACTGGAACGCATTGAACAGCAAGACACCTGGCATTGGTGGAACAGCTTCCGGTGGGCTGCCGATTTCAATCCAAAAATAAAATTGGCCCTCGAGTTGAGTGAAAGTGATCGGCCATCATTGGAAGTGGTGCGCCGTTGGAT